GTATAGTGCTAAATATAATACTTACCCTAAGGTTAAATAGCATAACTTTATTTATAATTGATGTGTAATTTATTCTGCAAAAACCGTTTTTTAATTGGAGTAACACTGGCGTCACAAATAAAATTTTATTGTGCACAAAAAAATTCTCATTACTTTTGCACAGTACTGTACATCTTTACGAGTCGAAAAATAAAGGCCATGATGTAGGCGTATTTTTTGTTATGGAAACATTTTTCTACCACCCTAATGTCTTTATTGCGCGAAACTAAACACATGATATCAAAAAGTATCACCATTGAATTCACGGTGTTCCTGAATCAACATCACAAGTGCAAACAGATTTACATATGCTTTAAAAACAGACGAAATAAAACTTGTCATATCTCGACAACAGGCAAAGCCTATGGAGTCCTGGTACGGAAAAGCAGTCGAATAGCCCAGCTTTCCATCTACAAACTTGTGTCTGCTTTGGGGTACGCTGTGGTGCATATTGCGGGCGATGCATTTTCATTTTCTAGAGACAGTTGTGTTATAAAGGAGGGTACCATCCAAAGGCTGCTCTAAGGGCATGGAAGGAAATAAACCAAAACTCGCCCACGGTTTGAACCTAAACACTGGACCAGCCATCACCTGGGCCCAAGTGTTTAACGGCGACCTACACTCCAAAATACAAAGAGGGCAGCTTATAATGCACAGCCGAACAAAGGCCGGCTGTCACATATCAACCCTGCCAACCTCCGCGATCTGTGTGTCGGATACGGGGCACATCGGAACACATGTTTAATCCTTCATGAATGAAATCCGATCAATGACCTCCTCTATAAAGACAGGCATTGCCTATCAGGCAATCTGGTATGCTCATATGAATGCTAAAGACCATCTCGGAAGGAGACATATATAGTAAAGATATATAGGTCTCCTGAGAAACACACTCTGCGAGTGGGCTGGGCTTCGGATACCACCATCGCCTCCCACTTCTCCCTCGGCTAGACTGTACTGCTAGTTAATTATGTACTATAGCTTTTCTAAGTAAGACTTGTAAAATAGAATATGTAGTTTAATATGTAGATTTAATCAATTAATTTATTATGTATATGCCAAGTGTCTTTTTAGTACAAATGCACCTTTAGCGTTCAATCGTAGGTGCAACTAATAAAGGAACGCAAAACTCCATGTTATAAAGTTGACGGTGAGATGGACGTTTTTGGTTATTGATAGAGACTGAGAAAAATTGAGGGCATTTTCTTTAGAATTGAAACTCGTCTTTATAATTAAGAAGACAATACGATGCTGCAGTAGTTACAAAGGCAGGAGATGACATCATTAGCAGACATATCAAAGTTCAATGAACAATATATCCAATTTACAGCTTTTTCGGGATTGAATATTTTTGTTATATTGTGGATGCATAATAATTAATAATATAAATTTTTGATTTATATTGACGGGTAATAGTAAAAACATTACGCTGCCCACGAAATGAATTAAAGTACGATCAATTGGCTTCAAAACTATGTAGCAAAAATGATATCGAATTTCACATCAGATACGAAATAAATTTGCTTGGTGAAGTGTATTTGAACATTGACAGGTGACTTCTAAATCCGCTGGGCTCATAACTTAAATATAACTGCGAAATACGTTGTATTCACATTTAATGCATAAACAGCATAAGCAGTCGGATAATTTGTTACCGGGGCTTGGTAACCATGCAAAAAAAATATTATTCTCCACGGTTGTGCAGCGCGTTTTTAATTAATCGTTGTTTCCTTTTTTATTCTAGCATCTCCTATACCATAAGCACGCAGCACGATGCAATAGAACCTTTTCACATTGCCACGAAGCTTACGTCTGTGCTTAAATTAAAAAACCAAGTATAAGCAATCAGTCGCACTTCGTTGTACCAAGTCATCATCGGGCACAAGACATCCAAGTTAAGCCAAGCGATCACAAAAGTTATCCAATGGTCTAGCCCCCTTTCTTGCAAAACCATGCCAAGGCAATAGCTTATGCTTACGAAATCTTTGTAATGTTGTCTCAACCTTTTTGAATGCACTTTTTTGTCTTTAAGCTTGTTGGTTGTAACGACTGCCAAGAAATAAGGAGAGAAACAAATACCCGATGTTAGTATCTCAACATGTGGCTTATATCTTTATGTGGCGTCATGCTGGGACATGCGGCATTACGCAACATCGACCATACCATGAAAAAAGGTTGATCGAGGACAAGTGCAGATGAGGGGTCTGTGAAACATTATATACAGTATGCCGATAATGGGAGATTAAATGGGACTATGAGGTTTTATGAGGCAAATGGCAGTGACGACTAAAGAGGAAAGCGGCGCTATGTGCTCGGGAGAATCTTCGCACCGTACGACGTTTTCTCTTCGGACGACAAGTCATGTCCATTTAGAGAGAATCTGTCTATTACTATTGTTATTACAGAACCTTAAATATATGTATGTATATTAATTTGTATATTTGATTACATACAACGTCCGCAGCAAGTCGGTAATTCAGATAACATTAACTGATAAATACGGAAGTTTATGACACAATAACAATATTAAATTAGAATCATGATGATAACCTAAATCTTGTCGCAGGATAATAATAGTAATAATAGTAACGATAACAGATATAAATATGTAGGTTTAAGGTAATTAATTGCCATTCCTATTCCGTTTAGTATTAGTCTTTATTAACTCTTTATTAACCGAGTTACTTTTTTTGTAGGAAGCGTCATGATAATGATAATAATCTGTTTATTATTCTCTCGCTCTTGTCACTTTACTAAACTAGTGGTAATTATAAATTATAAATATACGAGTGCTAATAATAAGTCCTCCCCCTTCATTCGATTGGCTATTACAAATCCGGAAAGCTAAAAATACCCTTTGTATACGCACTATTATACAGTACTCACAATAACATACTCCCTACTAAACTGCTTACCATTGTAAAAACATTGTAATAGATGTCACCAAATAAAATGCTTCCCATTTCATCAATCACACACACTCTTTTCTCCGTCCTGACTTTTGTTCCCTTTTGAGTGTATACGTCAATAGTTTATATATTCAGCCCACGAGACTACGCGAGAACTGGACTACTGGAAAAAAAAAATAGGAAAACGAAGATACTGCTATTACTACTTATATGTATAGTGTGACTACAATTGACGACAATAACGAACAATCGATTAGCAATTACCAAGGAAACCCGACTACGCTTTACGTTAATTACATATTGGCTATATCGAACGACTATTTCAACATAGAGCTTTAATACCAACAACATATTAGCAGGAAATACGCACCGCCAGCATAATTTAGTACAAAAACGACTGAAATCAAATATTCAATTCCATCATCAATCAATCGCTACAATCAATTTCTGATGCGTATGGTATTCTAGTTGAAAAATCCCAGCATTTTTTTAGGCATCGGGCTCCTTTTGTACAATAGTAGAAGATTCCTGTACACTATTAAACGAAAAAAACAAACATTAATGATTAACCACACGAAACCATCAAAAAAAATGTCGAGGCTGAAATCATCTTCGACCTTTACGATTCATTCCACTGTAATTTCTTCTTCATCCCTTCACCATCTATCCCTTTTCTTCTTCCTACTACTCGTTTTTCTCCCTCCTCTTCCTTTCACATACGCACAGTCCGCCCTTGGTCAGCCCACATCTGACATTTCCTGGCGTGCCGGCCACTCCGCCTGTATAATATCCAACTACATGGTCCTCTTTGGCGGTGTAACTTCTTCATCCGTTGACTTCTTTACGACTTCCGCAGCAACTAACGACGTTGTCGTTTGGGGTATATCCGATCAGCGTTGGTACAAGCCTGGCATAACTGCCGTTGCCGGAAGCGCAGTACCGCTCCCACAAAAGTTCGTACCCTGTGTCAGCTTATCTGGAAAAATGTTTGTCCTAATAGCTAATTCGACGGACCAGAGTGTTGCAAAGGATATCGCAGTTCTGGATGGAACGTTTTGGAATTGGCAAGATAGTATTACTAGTAAGTTTTTTGTTGGGTTTTTGAGGGCGGTTAGCATGACATGATGGTTGAGTTTGGGATTGCATGCCCCGTGGGAGATGTTTGATGTCTGGGAATCTGTTGAAGATAAAATAGGGTGTTCAGATATTAGATTGATAGATTAGTCTCTCTCAACACCATTTTCTTTGATATCTGATCTTTTCTTTGATCTCTCTCTGTGCGTGTGTGTTGGTTGCAGGTTTGACTTATTGCGCGCACGCAAGTTTGTTTGCGTTGATGCATAATTACTCATGTCGTTTAGCCCCCCCCCTCAACTTAGTCCCACTTCTCATATCTATTTACATTATAGTAACTATTTATTACCGTTGTCATCAATGTTACACGACTGGGTTGTATTGATATTAATGGTTTGGAGCTGTGACAATAGAGGAGTGAAAGTTTTTAAGTTTTTGGATTTCATAGTATATGCGTGGGAAAGATATAAGACCAAATGCTATGACGATTTAGGTTAAAGGAAAGGATTGGAGAAAAAAAAAAAGAGTTCCCATACCACAAACATGACAAATCTTTTAACATATCCATAATCTATCCATAATAACTCGTCATTTCTTCTTTGTAAACCTTTTATTAGCATCACCGCCGCCAGATTTCCGCGTAGGTGCAACACTCACAGCTGTAAATGATACGCTATATCGATATGCTGGCCAGCAAGCTTCCCCTACTGGGAATCCAATGGCGGGCATTAACAACCTGCTGTATTCTTTGGTGAGTTTTGGTGACAATGAATAGTTCGGGAAAGGGGTTGGCGCATGGGATTGTAGATGGTGATAGGTTAAGAAACATTATGTTATACTATATATATTGGAAATGATTTTTTTCACATGAAAGTCTAGGCGTTGGGCTAATAAGGCTTGTTGTGACAAGGATAGTTCGCACCAGTATTCGTAGATAGTAACCTTGTCTTGTCACGTTAATCTGACCAACCATAATCTCGTAATTACAGGACTCAAAAACTCTGGTGTGGACATCTCGTGCCAATGGTCCATCATTAGCATATCACACAGCTTGCTATTTGCCAAAGTTTGACATAATTGCCCTCTTCGGTGGTCAAAATACCGATTCCCAGCCGCAAGATGTACTGACTACCTACTCTGTTACAAAAGGCGTGTGGAATCAATTCGTTACTACCACGTCGCAAACTAAACCAAGGTAGGTAACGATGTAGAGATTAACTTGGAATTTATGAATGTCCTGAGGTGGTAATGAACGTAGACACGTATATGATTAGTACTGCTTAATGCATAGTCATATGTATATCATGTACTTGGCGACATTGTTTTTCGCGTTCATATTCACACCTAATACTCAGTATATTACCTCTTCATTAGTGCTCGACTGGGACATTCAGCAGTGTGTACAGAAGATAAAATGATTGTATTTGGTAATGTTTCAAAACATAAGCGAATGTCAATGTAACTCGCTGCTTTACACAATTAATCAATTAAACATCTGTCCTCCCTCTAATAATTTTTCATAGGTGGTGGAACTATATCCTCTAACGGTGGTACAGCATCGGATAGTTCAGTATGGTTAGCGACAGCAACATCAGAAACTAGCTTTTCCTGGTCGACACCAGTAACAAATCAAACGAACAGTCCATCTTCACGCATGGGACATTCGGCAGTTCTTTCAGGAAATAATATGATTGTGTTTGGCGGAATAGGGAGTGCAATTAATGACAAGACAGTATATATACTAGACACCAATACGTGGACGTGGAGTTCCGTCTCACCGGGAGGAAATCCATCATCCTCATCACAAACTGCGCCTGCAGCTTCGGGCAGTGGGACGTCTGCGACCTCGATTGCTGGCAGTACAACCTCAGGCACGACTGGACAGAAAAAATCTCTAACAGTAATAATCGCTGCTGCAGTTGGCGGATTTGTTGGTGTTATATTCATGGCGATTGCAATTTTCGCTACAACCCGTCATTATAGACGCAAAAACCGCAAACTTCAATTCGACGACGACGAAATGAGCGAAGTCGACTCTGCTCTTGGTGGCAACTCAACCGACATGTCACCCCCGCCTCGATCTCGAGAAGTCGTTCTCTCTTCTCCAGTAGCAGCGCGTTTAGCAAATAAAGACACGGTATTCAACGTCGAAACACTGCCACGTTTACAACAGCTTGATGGGATAGACAAGAGAGAGTCTATCATTGCGCCAGAAGCAGCTAGAGCAGCACCGTTGAATCCTTGGAACAGAAGTAATGGACCTAGGGGACATTACGTAAGAGGGAGCACCGACTCGTTTGGGAATTGGCGCAGTAAAAGTGAAACGGGCGAGGAAGAAGAAGCTGATAGATGGACATTTGCATCGTCGTTCTCATATGACAGAGAACGCGAAAAAGATCAGTTGCGAGACGGATCTACACCTCCAATACGTTATATGCCACAAAGAATGGACTCGGTGGGAAGTTTGTCCTCTACTTTTGGTCAACGTGGCGGACACACATTTCCCTATCACCACGGACACAGCGCACATGCCTCTCACCCTTGGATGCAATCACGTGGTGACGATGACGACCCCCATCAATCTGTTCCTTTGGCCATGCCTGTCGTGCAGCCAGAAGTCATCGTTACTGCTCCGCGTGTTCCGCCTAACGTTGCACCTACCGATTATAACGTGGGATCAGGACTGAATTCTCAGCAGTATGGAAATTCTAATAGTAGTGGAGGTGGACATATTAGGGCGACAACGGTGTCTGGACTAGGGGATAATCAAGTGAGCTTGAACGATACGTTGAGTCCTTTGGATAGAATCGCTAGACTGTTTTCGGGCGGCGATGTTTCCGGAGCTATTGGGATAGGCGAAAAGGAGACCGTGATGTATCCACAAAATACACAGCATTCTACGAACGAAGATACAAACTCTGTTCGCGGACAATCAATATTTATAGCGCCAGCAGTAGAAGACACGAATTCGAATTCTGGCAATAATGCGATTTACAATGCGAATTCCCTACACCAATCGGCTGAAGATGTGAGTCATGTAAAAGACGCCGTTAGTTTACGCGGTACAATATCTGTTGCTAGTGTCAAAGAACTGGCAGCAGCACATTCGTCGGTTGCAAGAGATGAGAAGCTAACAGCGCAAAATCTTTACAAGAATAGTCCGAGTCAAGAGAGTATTACGAAAATTGCTGATTTGGCCGGGTCGAGTGGAAGTAATCAACAGGAAGCTGCTAGTGTAGAAGGTGGAGGAGAGACGAATAAGGAACGGAAGAGATGGAGTTGGGGTTGATTCGAAAAGAAATAGCGGGGTTTTGAATGGATGATATAACTATAGGGTGAGAAAGTGTAGAATAAAATGTAATGCAAATAGTTGACAATGGCGGTGGGAACTTGTATCTTTTGAAAATGAATCAAAATTCAAAAAATGTATAATGTTAAAAAAAACAAAACATAGTAATGCAACAGGTCAATCTTCTTTCAGCTAATACAAGTGACATAATTGAAGCCATTGCAACGGGGACTGGTTGGCATAAAGATAGAACTATTTATATTCAATGTAGCATTCAAATTAGTTAAAGGAAGAACGTCACACCAATTACTATCACGATTTACGAATTTAAACTTGTATATTTAGTTTCGAAATAAAAGCTTACGTTTGACAGTATTAGTATGGGGTTGGATAGTGGGATATCAGAAAACTGTGTGTATAGGTAAAGCGTTCTACCATGAAATTGTAAAATATACATGACGATGGTATTGTAATCAACATCGTAATGGTGTGCTGCTCCGTAAACGAATAAACATTGGATATAATAGTAGACTACATTTTATTCAAAGTCTGCATCGCGAGAAGCGTTTTTGGCTAAAAGGTCGTTTTTCTCTAGAATTAAACAATCAAAGATACGAGTACGAGAGAATGAGGTAGCTATTAAGAAACAAGTCTTTTTGAATTATTTAACTGAGACTCTAACGGTAAGTGATAATTAGTTCCTCCTATCACGGGATAACAGTAAAAAATGTACTTGAATAATGAATGCAGTCGGACCTTCTTCATGATGTGTTCTGCGATTAGTGTTAATGCGTTTTGATAGATCATTAATCGCATTCCGACAAGCAGTTAAAGTCGGAGTGTTGCTTTTCAGTGAAATTCGAATAATAAAATCAATTTCTGGACAATATCATTTCAATGGATAGATTTATTTCATATTTTGTTTGATCTTTCGCGTTGAATTAGAGGGCTTTTCGAATTATTACATTTTTGTAAACTTTGAAATTTTGAACGTTCGAATTACACAACATTATTTCCGAGTCTGATGACGAAATTTATCATCATCTGGCGATTTGTAAATTTACACAAACACGCCTTGACAAAACTTTTAAGGCGTCAGAATTTCAGGGTGGAACCATTAAACCTGTTTCATCGGAAATCTTTCTAATGGGCTATATATTGGGTAAATATAACCATTTGTCAACAACATGACATCGCGGTCGAGCCAAGACCATTCAATAATGGAATTGTCTACTCCCTTGATTGATAGCGCTCTGCTTTCACCAAATTTATATCCTCGAAAACTAACAAAAATAAAATGACTTGAAACTTCTCCTTTTCACAGACTCGTGATAATGCGTCAGTGAGTTGATCGAATATTCTGTATGCGGGATTGGTTGTAAAATCGTTGGTAAAGACTTTGCGTTTTAGTTTCCCAACTGGTTGAAAATAGCGGCGTCACCTGTCTGAAGAATCATTTACCGTTTCTTTCGCTGGTATCCTTATAATAGATATACCCCTACTCGTATTGGAGCGTTAGACATTCTCATCAGGTCGTCATTGATATAACATGTTGAATTAACCAGTGTGAATAGTATCTCCAGGAAGATTGTTAATACTTGCTTGCATTCTACTATTGAACATTCACAATTTAGCAAGAAATATTAAATAGAAAGTCGCGTATTGCCTTCGGGAAGAGTTTCCTTCTTTTCCTTCTTCTCTATTTCAAGATTGCAAATTCACAGTACAGACTTGTTGTCAATAGAATCTTGTCTCGCAAGGGTTCAATAAATTGACGAGAGAATTAAAGAATTGTGTATGGCAATAAATTTTCCGCAATAATACAAATTTCTTTGGGCATTAATAAATAGATAACTCTACTTTTTAATTAGCCCTGAGTTTGCGTAACTTCTAGCCTTAGCATACGAGATGTTAAATTTTATCTCACAGAGCCATATCGGACGAACCCACAAGTTAAATAGGCGCTCTCACCACTCGCCCGTCTGCATATTTCAATTGATATGAATTCTTATATCCTGAGCCATACTTTTTTGTTTTATTATGTGATTCGATATCAAAGATGAGATAATGTGGGGCGGATTCATGGAATTTGGAGAAAATAGGACAATAACAAAGGGTTAGAAGAAATTTTTGAAATGTGCGAGATATAGATGGGAGAGAATAGGTTGAACGGAAAGAAAAGAGAAATAAAAAGTTTTATGACAATGGCTTTTAAGTAATTGTATACTCTCCTATGTTGTAGGAAAAGTCCAAGTGTTCAAAAGGGTATACTGACTCCCACTTGTGAAGTGACCAGTGTACAAATAGGGACTTTCGATAGATATTTCTAAATATAACAATATATACATACATATACACACACACGCACACATATACATATATGAATAACAGACCAAGGGAAAAGCAAAACTGAAGAATACGAAATATCCGCTCCAAATTCACTGTAAATATTTGACTAAGAAACAACGATATCACAATTATAATCAAGTGAAAAAAGAAAATAAATCCCAAAGAAGACGACTGAAAATGGCTAAAACTGATGCGTAGCTTATTCCAACATACCGCGCATCACCGAAACACATTTTACCCGACCAATGTCAAAGCTATTACACACCAGCTTCACCTCCATTACTAGCGTTCATGCGTCGGTCTTTTTCGCTCTCCAATTGATGATAAAGCAAGTACAATGCCTTTTCATTCGCTTCAGACGTTCCCTGGATAGTAAACATCCTTTCACCGGTCTCGTCGTGAGGCGTTTTCGCGATACTGATGCGAGATCCGGATAAACGACGGATTTCGGAGATTTTAGATCCAGCTTTGCCAATAATACATCCAACCATATCGGCGGGAATGCTAATATTCTGCACACGGGTTTGCGCGGGGTCGAAGTTGGTCGATGAACGACGAGAACCAGAGTAGTCACTTCCTGAACCGCCACTAGTACCGGTACCGCTGTTGCGATTAGGACGGGTGAAATCAGTTCCATTTCCAGTGCGAATAGCATAGTCGTTCCTTCCCCTGTTAGTGGAATAACTAGGGCTCGTAATCCTAATAGCCGGGTTATATAAAACAGTTCCAATTCCTCTCTCATTATCCTCAATCAAACACTTTCCAATCTCCCATACTGCAATCTTAATCGCTTCAACGGTCCCTTGAACTTCAACAATACGCTCAGTGCTTTGTGGCAACATTTCTTTCGATGCGACCATGCGAGCATTGGAGACGTCTTGAATGTGTTTGATTTTCGCTCCTTGGCGACCAATAATGGTACCCATGAGATTATGCGAGATAAGAAGGCGGACGGAAGTAAAGGCATTTGGAGAGGGAGTAATGGGAGCACTGTTAGGGCTGGCACTAACGGGGTTTTCGAGAAGTGTCTGGGCTATGAGAGAGTAGGCCTGGAAAAACGAAAAGAAAAAAAAAAAAAGGAAAGCGAAACTGTTAGAAGAGGTGGCTTACAGTGTCGAAAAATATTCCGATAACCACATTCCGATGACTACATTCCGATGACTACATTTCGATGATTCTATATTCGTCGTTTCTGGCCCAAATATATTTCGGGCAAGATTCTTTCACAAGGTTCTCTTTGAAACCGCCTCTTAATTAACAACGCTCTCGGAACATTTACCTTAGCTACTCCATCAAGGGTACCAACAACCGAGAGCACTCTATCATGAATTCCCTGGATAACCTTCGAGACACCAGCCTTGACACCAGTAACTTCTCTGAGTTCTGCGACATTCTTTCCAGCCTTACCAATGATAACTCCTGCCTCTTTAGTCGAGACGAGAGCTCTCAAAGTAAGAGTTTGACCGGCAATGCTATCACTGTCACCGTTTTGTTCCTTTGGAGTGTCTTCTGGATGGTATTCTACGACAAATATTAAGCGTTAGTAACTTTGTTTAATGCAGGCGAGGGGAATGTACCCAGAGAGAATGTACCAGAGAGAAAACATATATATAACGTATTATATAACGTATAGTTTAACATACCAGCAGTGCCATTGCTCGTTGCAGGTACTACATCAGTAGGCTCCGCGTCGGACCGAACAATGTCGCCTCTGATGGAAATGCTGGCGGCATCAGCATTGACGTTTTCATAATTGTAATTGGTAGTAGTTGTCTCGGACATCTCTTCCGTTGACATTGTTCACAAATGTATACGATTCGTGTGTGAATGAAGTTTATATACTCTAATTATTTTAAGTGTCTTAAACTGATAGTAGCCGTTTGCTATCAGTTATGATATAGGAATAAGTCGTAACTACTTGAACGAACGGCTGGAGAATAATGAGAAATAAGAATATTGGATTATGCCAAGTATCTTCTTCCTTGAAACGAAAATGAAACTCCAAGTAGTTTGCTTAGGTGCGGGGGCGAGTCTCCGGTCCCGTAGTAATTCGGGAATGGAATTAAGTAGAGTTGGAGGACCAGAGAGAGAATAATCGATATAATTATATAGTTAACGAGAATTATGGCTAAAGGATCGAGTATTGTAAATAACGTAAGCCAGGTATATATATTTATGTTCGTTTTTTTTTTTTTTTTTTTTGTTTTTTTTTTCTTTACACCGAAGTACGATAATAAATGAAGAAGGGACGAAGGGAAGAAGTGGAAAGGGAAGTAAATATTCGGATAGAAGTTGGGCGACAAAGGATGAAGAAGAAAGGGAGATATGGAAGGATGAAAGGGTGAGATTTTTTTTGCTATGGCTGAAGCACTTTTTATCTGATTACGCACCTCATACATGGGATGTGATGATACAATGGGCGTTGAATGATGACGTGAAACAGATCTACAGTTGTACACAAAGATCCTTCAGACCCTTTTGCAGGTTCGACGATGTTGTATCCTGAACTGAGTGCAGAAAAGGAAGGTATCAACACAGTGGTGTATACCTTTCCAAACTGGTCGAAATAAACTGTTGTATCGGAAAAAGATACGTTGGCCTGTTTTTGCTTTCATTGGTATCAACCACCAGGCAACGAATATCGTAAATGTAAAAAGCAATGCTGGGTTTAGTCGTTATTCTGTGAAAGTTGTTGCCAGCGAGTTTTTCTTTTCTCTGGACATCTCTGCTTTGTCATGCACTAATCGAATTTGACAACTTGTGTGCGCTTCACTGCAATTTTGTGTTAGCGTGATTATTCAGTTTTACCACGTGATAATTATTTGTAATGACATCACCAAATCCATTTAGCAATCGCCGTTGGCAATTTCTAATTCATGAAACTCATTTAAGAAATGTCGATGCATCCCAAACATTAATCGTCGTTACATGCAATAAGCACTTGCATTTTATTGTACAGCGACAGCAGGAGGGGGAGGAGCAAAAAATATTTAATGTAGGTTGTATTTGCTTTCGGCTATCCAACTCCAAGCAGAAAGACAACTGCCACGCTAATGAATAATATGCTTTGTAGATCTTAACTCAACCAAAAATTTATTATTAATTTAGCTCGTGTTTTAAAATATACAAAGTGAATGGTTGATTATATATATATGAACTCGAAATAGCTGGTGTATGGCTGGAAAATTAAATATACTTGATGTTTGGAAGCATTATTTATTGCACACAATGACATCCTAATACTGGCTCCTTTTGGGACAAAACCCAGTATGACATTGTGTGTCCTCTTTAATCTCAGAAGCTACATATAGCAGCTTTTAGCATAATAGAAAACCTTCTAAGGGCTCAAGCTTATTAATTTCTATATCAACTTTTTGACAAAATTAATAATGAAAATAATATATTAGGAACCGTTTCTGCATGGTTAAGTGACTGATTATGATGACATTTGGGAAGACTTGTTTTAGTGGCACAGTTTTGGCTCATGGACTAGTTTTTTAGTCAAAGTTATAATTACAATGTGTTTAATATTTATATTTAGTACTGTAGTATACAACATTAATATGCATAAATGAAGACTGTGTGTAACTTGGGTGGACATATTTGGTGCGGATAAAGCACGATTTTGCGCAACGGAAGGGTTAAGGCTGATGATAAAAAAATCATGTGACTGCCCGCTTACTAGTTTATATCGATATATTTACATAAAGCTTTATATTTATACATGTGATTTGTGATCTCCGAAAATAAGCATATTGCGACTTATATAGCGTAGTTTTTGTACACATCAATGGCAGTTTTTGCGTAACCTTGATTTGATTATTTAATTGACGATATTAATATCTTCTTCAAAAATGGTCATTGAATTCGCCCATAGGAACAAATTTTCGAAGCGTAAAACTCTAAGAGAGGAAAGATAAATATACAGAGGGATTAAGTTTCGCCTAGTATTGACACATATTGTAGTTTGCCTATACAATGGAAGAAATTAATCCTTTCTTCGAACGCCACGATACATAAATTTGACATCGATTCAAGTGGAAATGTATTGACAAGATAATAAATGCTGTGAATGCAAGTGCTTCGAGTAAAATAAATTTATTTGATTACTGATACTTAGGCGTGTTATTAGGTTATAATCTTCTCATCTATGCTATATTATGTATTATGTTTAATATTCTAGAATAAGCTTTGAAGCGGAAGTTTGATGACAATAATTATGAATTTTTATTATCCAATCCAAAATAGAGAATAATGTGAAAATGCAACGAAAGCTTAGATATGCATCAAACATGTTATACAATAGCTCACTGTTATCCACGTGGAAGAGGAAGACCGTTGGCACCTGATATTGTTATATATCCTAGTTTGACGTAATTCCAAGGCCTCCAAATCAACGTTCCACCTCCACGACGTAGTGTCCGTAGAGTCCAAGACAATATCTTGAAATTCCCCAGTTGACACAACGGTTTGTTCTTGGCGTATTGTTTTCTTCCTTGATTGTTCCCAGTCTTAATAAAGTAATTATATTAATATAAAACCACACGCACAAATAATGTGCGAAATTGCAGTATCCCAAAGTTATAATAATTGGGATGAAAAGTGCAGGTGTTGGATGCAACGGCAATACGTAAGATGCGTATTTGGAGTTAAAATTTACCCATCAAGAGTCACACCGAAGTGCAAACGGACAATTAGATTGGTTGTTCACAGTCTTCTTTGTTATTCAATAATTCGAAAAATTTTTCTTCTATTTCTTATCTTAGGCCAGATTCTGGACACGTCCGACAACACCAGTACCAGGAAGACACACAGCAGTAAGAGAACAACGAGAAGAGGTAAGATTAATACGCCATTGACGTTCTTGCGATTAGTTTAAATGGCAAATATCTAATCTATAATATAAACTTACCAAACTTTTTATAGTAGTGGAACTTGGTGCTCTCGATTGTTACAAATAAGATCGCGAATATTACTTTGATGACACAAACTTTAATTATACAATCTACTAACGCCTTAAGATTAAGTCTCTCTCCGTAATTGGCGTTGAAATTACTCTATTTGCAATATAATTGTTAATGTTAAGTAAAAGAGATATCCGTTATAGCAATTGCTTGCTACAGTATTAAGCTATCAGCTGCTCGTAAATAATAAGAGAAGACCAGAACTTATTTGCACATTTCCTTTTATTCTATAATCGATCGAACATCTGACCGTGTCTACTAGCATGCCATGCCTCACGAACATTTTCGGACATTAGTACGGATTTTCCCTGGACATGAGGATTTCCTGGTAAACCAAAATTTGTTTCTCCCTGATAATTCGGATCTCTATTTTTTTCTGATAACATTTCCGACAGATTGACCACTCCAAACTCCTGTTTCAGACATAATATTTAAACTTTTACGCCAATTTTCAACCGCTGTTTATATACAGTACATGTCGAGATAATATAAGAAAGCCACTATTAAAATCCTTTTTTGCCGATCCCATGTCTGGCAGCAAAACTGCTCCATTAATTTGTTGGTAAATGGATCGAGCGTATCTTTAATTTCAGAAGTTGAAACCATAGTATTTAAATTATTAACAGACAAATGATTGGCAATTAAAAAGCTTAATATAGAATTAAAATAGCGCTGGTCACTATCTTAGCCAGATTTATTGAAATTAAACGACGTCCTAATTAAACCATTTATTATTAAATAATATTCCTGTAGACTAGCTTGTCTTAGAGAATCGACTTGCTTTTTTTCTCATCTGATATGCGAATTTTCGTCCCTGACAATGCAAAACTGTTTACACTTATTGTTCGATTGTAGTAAATAGTTCAATAAATTCTGGATGGTTTATAACTGTATAATCTAATGACATGTGCAGTCATTCTAATGCATAATATGAATAACAACTAATAATAGGAATTTGTATTGAAATATAATTATTACCCTTGCGAGCTGTAGTTAATATTGCTTATCGAGACTGTGACCGGCATCTATAATAACCTTTAATTACCGATGATTTGTCTATTAATAAAATACGATAGTTCCAACTTCTAAAATTGAAGCTAGAAACGCTCGATCCATTTACCAACAAACTAATGGAGCTGTTTTTTCGTTTTATTGACATAAACGTTAGTTTATTTATTTAATCTTTTTCGTAATGTATGTAAATTCATAATAATAGAGGCTACCGATATCTAACACTTTATGTATTGATTTTTTGGGTACATGATATCCTAACTGTTCAGGTAATAAAGGAATCGAAAGGAATCTATCACAATAAACACTGACGAACACTTCGAACACACTGAAACTAACTGAAATCTACGCTGCTTTATATCTTTCGACGGGACTAATAATCTATTTTTAGCAATGCTTATTATTAATCTGCACTTATCAATTCAGCACATATTCTTTGTCGCAGAAATTAGGGAATATACTAATACGTCACGTCAGAATTAACATTAATGTACAATATCTTTTCACAAACGCGCCAAACCTCTCGCTCTGTTTCCTCAAGGGTTGAAGTCTTGTAGCATCTTTGTTCTTTGACTGCTCTATAGAACATCTCGCACGTACAACAAAATTCTTATTATTATTGTGTTAGCGTTTGTGTGACGTTATAGTTAGTGTGACGATACTTGACATGAGAGAATTTTTCAATCATCCCAAGAAACAACATCTTAAAGCAAACATGGATAAGAAATGGCTAGATAAAATATGTGAAGATGGAATAATCAAGTGCTATTTAGAAAGT